AGTTGTTTCCTCCCATTTCTTCTCTTCTTTTAGAATAAAGTTACTTTAAAGTATCCCCTTTTACATAATCTCTATCAGGGAATCAACTTGACATACAAAAATTTTAATTCAAGGAAGAAAGAACAGTACTGAAACATTTTGCAATCTTATATATTTATTTAGCTGACAGATCTGTACGCTAACTTCTTGACTTGAGGTAATTTTTTTTCCATTTGTTTTTTGGTTTGAGGGGTTTTGTGTGTGTTTTCTGTTTTGCTTTGAGAGGTGATACATAAAGAGTTATGAAWATTCAGAGTTAAGCATTGAGGTGGAATGCACTTATTCCCAATCCTTCTGTTTTTCCAAGTGACTCGGAACAAACTCCAGTCTTTGGGTTACCCACGCTTTTCAACTAAAGTGTGGATGACTTCCGTTAGAGTTAAATAAGGCCTAAATAGTTAAGAAAAGAAATTCATTAAGTGATAAGTTATATATCTGTATAAATGTTCACTTAATGTTAGGCAAAGCATAATCAATCTGATTTTTTTTACTTAAATATAACAGTTTTTTGTTTATTTTTCTGCTTAATGGACTCAAGAGCAATTTCATTTGGAATTGAATATATCTAGATATTATTTGATGGTACCTTTTGCTCTTCTGTGAATTCAGAATTGTTGTGTTGAGCTTGGGCCTCTTTTTGTAGATGTCTTGCTAATCTGTAAGAAAACATTTTTTTTTTAGAACTGAAAGCAAACTATCTCAACTGCAACAAAGTAAAACAAATTAAATCTCTTAAAAACAATAAAGTACATAATACTTTGTTCTGTTTTTGAAGTAATTCCACATTTTCAAGGCAAATCTACATTACCCTGAGAATCAAACTTTTTACAAAAAAAAAGTTCGTACAAAATAATGATGAAATAAGATACTTTTCATACCATTTCACTGGGATAAATTTCGGAATCTTAGAGCTGCAAAGAATCTCAAAAAGCACATAATTCAACTTTCTTYACTATGCACTAATTTCTTCTATAAACAACCAATAAATAGTTGTCCAGATTCTACTTTAGTGAGCACCAATAATAGTATCAACCATAGATACATTATCATTCTATCATAATTAATTTCCCAATAAGATTTGCCCAAATCCAAATTACAGCCATGACAATAACTCCATTAAAATATGCTTTTGAAACACTTTCAATGGAAAAATAAAGAAAAGCCGTCCACCAATCAAAAACAGAAAATACTGCTTGCCCAGTTATCATCATATCTAAAAATGGCAGGTAGGCCTTGAGTGAGTTTTCCAGGATGAATTTATGATGCTAGTCCAAGCTCAACAGTGAAGATCCAAAGCTATTTCTGAGACAGCAAAAGGCAAAAATTTACTCTTATGAAGAAAGGGGGGGGGAAGACCAATTTTAGACACAGTATTTGATTAGACATGTTTCTAAACAAGATATAAAAATGGCCAATAAACACATGAAAAGATATTCAGTATCATTAGACATCAGGGAAATGCATATMAGAATCATAAAATAATTACTTAGCACCCATGCAGATGGATATAATTTAAAAAAGAGAGATGAAGAAAATAATAGGCGTAGGGAGAGTACAGAAAAAACTGGAACCCTCATGCATTGCTGATGGGAATGTAAATTGGTGCCAGCAGTTGTGGAAAAGTTTAATATAGTTAAATACAGAGGAACTGTATGCTCCATCAAACTCCTAGATGGATATATCCAAAAGAACTAAAAATAAAATGTTCACACAAAGCACATGTACACAAATGTTTACAGCAGCATTATTTGTAATAATCAAAAAGTCATACAACCAAAATGTCCATCAATTAATGGATGAACAAAACATGGTACATATATTCAGCAGAATATTATTCAGTCATAAAGAGGAATGAAACTCAGATAATATGCTAGCTACAGTATGAATGAACTTCAAAAAGATTATGCTATATAAAAGAAGTCAGATGTAAATGGTCRTGTTATATGATTCCATTTACATGAAATGTCCAGGAAAGGTAAATTCATAGAGAAAGAAAGCAGATGAGAGGTTGCCAGGATATGGAGAAATTTAGAATGATTGACACCAGGTATGAAGTTTCTTCTGGGAGTGGGAGAAATTTTTAGGAATTACAATAGTGATGGTTATATCACACTGTGAATACATTAAAGACCACTTCACTGTACACGTTAAAATAGTGAGTTTTATGGTATATGCTAAAAAAATGCAAGAAAAAAGCTAGCAAAAGATTTAGAAAATAAGATTGTTATTTTGGTTGAGGTATGGGAGTAGGAATGGCAGCAAGTGCTAGCTAGAAAAGGCAATTAAAGAAGAGAGTTCATCACAGTTCCAAAAAACAAGTACTAGATAGGAGTTCTACTCTATGCAATCACATCTTTAAAGATCAAGTAGTATTCTCAATGGTCTCTATCCTCTTTATGAAAAGTCTGCATCCTTTATCATTAAGCAAGAAATTCTTACAAGAAATCTTAACATTTGCTAAGACAGCTCCACCATGTTACTTAGTCAAATTTTCATCCATTTAYTTACTTGCTTCCAAAGCTGGAAACCACACAATATATTTTCCTAAAATGTCATTCATTGACTCATAGTCTCATATTTTTATGAATTCTTATGCAGGAGAAGGTACAAAAATAAATATGGCCCATTGTCCTTTTTCTGGATTTGCTTTCTTTTTTTTTTTTTTTAACTCTTGCTGACCTATGTGGACTCTTAYAGGAATTCATGGTCTATACACCCTTAGCAATGTCAACTATACATCCCTGAGTTCAGGGAAGTTATARTGTAATAGTTTCTTTATTTGAATATTTCTACATATAATTTGCTGAGAGTGGCTATCAACCTAAGCAAGATTCTTTTTTTTTCTTTAAATAGTTTTGTTTTGTTATTTTTTTTAGTTGTAGTTGGAACCAATACCTTTTATTTTATGTATTTATTTTATGTGGTGCTGAGGATGGAACCCAGTGCCTTGCACGTGCTAGGCAAGCACTCTACCAATAAGCCCAAGCTCCAGCCCCAGCCCTTAAGCAGGATTCTTGTCAGGAAAAAAAAAGTATAGCTTTTAACTCCTGTTTAAATACTAATAATCAGGGCTGGGGTTGTGGCTCAGTGGTAGAGTGCTCGCCTAGCATGCACAAGGCACTGGGTTCGATCCTCAGCACCACATAAATGTAARGAACACCTACAACTCAATAGGTAAGAGATAATTCAATTTAAAAATAGGTAAAAGATTTGAACAGACATTTCACAAACAAGATTTACAGAGGGAAAAATAAGCATATGAAAAGACATTCAACATTATTAGWCATTAGAAAAATGTAAATTAAACCTATAGTTAAGTATACTGATAATGGCTACAATAAAGAAAATAATAATAAATACTGCTATACAGAGAAACAGAAAACCCCTTCATACTGCTGGTAGAGATAYAAAATGGTACACCCAATTTGGAAAATTTGACAGCTACTGTAAAAAGTTACAAACTTAACATATGACTTAGCAATTCTACTTATAGGTATCTATTCAAGAGAAATGAAGAATATGTCCACATAAAATATTGCACATGGAATGTTCAATGCAGTTTTATTGATAATAACCAAAATTCAAATGTCAACCAACTAATGAGTGAATWGGCACATAAAACATGAGACAGCCATACAATGTAATACTGTAAATTCACCAATAAAAAGGAATAAAATCATAATACATGCTATGAAGTGGAAATATGCTAACTGAAAGAAACTATATGCATAAGATCACATATTAGATGCTTCAAATCATATGAAATGTCCAGAAAAAACAAATCTATAGAAAGAAAATATAGATAGTGGGAGTGGTTGCAAATGGGCACAAGGAATCTTTTGAATGTGATGAAAATGTTCTAAAATTTGATTGTGGTGGTGACTGCATGACTTTTACTTTTAAAAATCAACAAATTATACATGTAAAACTGATGAACTTCATGGTATATAAAGCATACCTGAGTTGTTTAAAGAAAAAACTTTTTAAAGCCTCAGCAAAATGCCCCCCCACCTTCAAAATCTAAATGAACAAAAGATTGTATCATTTTAAGATAAAGTGAGACCTGATTTTGTCTACTGTGAGAAAATCTACATGTTTTGGATTTTAGATGAGCAAATAAAAGAGTCGACATTCTACTGGTAAAGGTGAGAAACCTATCAAACATTCTTTTCTAGAGACTCCTCTCACAAGTAAAAGAGTATTATTCTCAAGGGGGAGTTTTAAATATTACGTTAAATACATAAACAAGTGACTGATGGAAATCCCACATGATTCCAGACACAGAAATTAGAGCTTTTCAACCTGCAGCAAAGCATAGTTTTTCCTCTCAATTTGTCCCAAGCTAATATTTTTGTAAAACACAAAAATATGGTCAAGATGTCAAGTTGCTTTAAAGTTCCTAAATGTTTACTCTTTATTTCTTTCTTTATTTTGATGCAGACCAGCAGGTTTGTGGACTGGCCCCGATGCATGGACTACACTGTAAGCAGCAGAGACAAAGCTTTCTAAAGATGACTAAAACCAGGTATTACTCAGTCTTTAAATTCATCTACTCAGTTAACAGATATTTATTGAGCATCCGTGTGTTAGAGAAATATCTCAGGAATGATTCTGTGGAACCTCTTACTCTGGACAAGCTTCAATTCCACTACACCACAAGTTAAGAGTCATGTATGCCCAGGTAGCTGAAAGAGGTAGCCTGCTGAATGGAGATATTGTTTTTAACTGGCTGTGTGTATTCTGAATAACAATTTTAATTTGACATTATTTCTTTAAATCTTCTAATAGTATTTTGGCATCAGCTCATTAATGCTACAATGTACTCCTGAATCCATACATTCAATAGAATGTGATAATTATATAATATATAAATTAAAAATTATGTCTTAGTAGTACTCTGGAACACTAAGTTTACAGAAGAGAACAGAACAGATACTGCCCCCAACCCTCAAAGAACTTATAGTCCCTTGGGGAAACAATAAGCAAAACAAATACATAAAATATATTTTAGATGAAGTTTAGATTGTAATAAGTCCTGTAGGAAAAAATTAAGCAGGAGGGAGGGAGGAATGGTGGGAAAGGGAAGGGTCAGTGGAAAGAAACAGACTAAATTAAGAGAAAGGAAAAAAAAAAAAAAAAAGAAAAAGCAGGAGTGGGGAGAGGTGCCAGAGGGGATGTGCCAGAGAATAGAGTGGGGATGGACAGGAGACTTTGCACTTTTAGACAGAGTGGCCAGAAAGGACCTTGCTGAAAGAACAATATTTGAACATAGACCTGAAGAGGAAAAGCCCTAAGGCAGAAGTGTGCTTCAGGAAACAGCAAAAGTATGGGAACATTCACTTTTGTTCTTCACTGACTGAAGTACCTTATTGGTCTAAAATGTTCCAGTAAACTCAGTGCTTTGGGGTCAGATACCAAATTTTATTCATCTTTCTCCTCCCAATCCTCATTGTTCAATGATGAAATTGTTTAAGTTATAGTATTCTCACATTATGGCAGTAAAAACATTCTCTTCCCACCTCTAAATCATGTTGACTATAAAGACATCACTGCCTACATAATTAGGAGTCACATTTATCCTAGACTTTTCCTCCTTCACTCTAGATATCCAGTGACTAAATCCTGTCAATGATCATTCACATCATCATTGTGGTCCTCATTGGTCTCTTTTGCTGTAGCCTTTCTTTCCAAATAGTTCTTTCAAATGCAAAATATAATTTGCCTTTATTTCTGAATATATTTGAAAATTTAAACAAACTCATTTTACACGTGGCCTGTATGTCTACAAAACTGAAGTCAATCATGACATATTTCTATTGAAATTTACACTGCAGTTTTTATAACTGGAAGACTATGCGGAATCCTGGAGTTCAAAGGGTAGGGCTGAGATCCAACAATAGCTTTGTATGTGCCTATTACCTTCATTCAGAAGTTTCTAGAAATTCCAACTAAACAGCTTGCATATTCGATTTTCCTTTGTAATTTCAATTAGACATGGTATTCTTCACTTTCCATTGGGAGATCTGCTGCTCAGTGCCCACAGCTGCTAAGTCCCACAGTATCACAAGTAAGAGGCAGCTTTACATTTCAGGCTATGCAATTTTCATTATCATATAGGATAAGTATACATTGATGCTAACTGGTTAGCATATGGAAGGGTATGTTCACCAATGAAGGAAATCCTGAAATTTGTCCAATTCACTTACAGAATAACTCTATCAATGCTTTATCAAACAAGCACCTTAAGCATTTATATATTAGAGAACACCAGATTTGGAGTGGAAAAAAAAATTCCAGACTTCAGTGATATCATTTTGCGATTGTGAGTAATCTGTCAACTTGAATTTCAGTTTCCTTATTTTTTAAAATGAAAATAATTATATTCACTGGACAGTTGTAAAAGCAAATGAAATCAAGTGGAAGTGAAAAATAAATGCCCAAAGTTGTTAGGCACAACCAGATAGCCCAGAGCATAGTTGTTTTCAGGTACTTTTTGAAACTACAGGCAATTCAAAGTCAGAAAGATGGGGTAGAAAACATATATACATCTAAATTATGTTGGTGATCAGATAAAAACAACTATTGTTCAGGAGAACAGAAGTTTGGATTTTCCAAGTACCAATTTTGTATTCTTTCCAGAAGGTGTGTGTGGGGCGGGGAGTGGTGGTGAATTTTACTCGTGCATGATTTCATATTCCATGAAACCTCAAACAATAATTTGTTTTAAACCAATAAGCAAGTAATGGCAAGTTTGGAAACAATAGCATTTTAGTAGGCAGTTCTTAAGTTCAGTAATATGTTCAAGAAATTAAACAAGTTTTTTATACATAACATAAATCTTGTCTTTTCATTTTAAAACCATCTTTAAAGTTTTTGGCGAAAGCAGAAAGGGCAAAAAAAAAAATCAGACTTAGGTTGATAAAGGAAACTGGTACCCACATGTACCCTGAGGCTATACATTATACACAGGAAAAGGAGGAGGGATCCTAGGAGGGAGGGGCAGCTCCTGTGCGTGGTCTATTAATTCACATTTTGCTCTCTTCTGTTCACATCCTGCGAGGACTCCACCCAAAGAAACCGAGCGAGGGGGTGGGTGGGACTCACAGTCCAGCAAATAACAGTCCCAGAAACCGAAACGAAATCGAGGTGGAATTGTGAAAACACGGCTCACCAGAAAGTGGGGTGGAGAAGGAGCGCCAGAGCAGACCCTTCTTTTGGCAGAAGGAGAGGCATCCCTGGCCCTCGCTGCTTCCTGGGGGTACCCAACTCCTCTCTATCAAAACCAGTTCCCTCCTCTCCTACACATGGGAGGGAGGAAGACACACACAGAGAGCAAGGCCACTCATGCCTGGAACGTGGGCGGAGAACGCACAAGTATTCCTTCGAGATTCAAAGAGAGATTGGGGGGTGGCAACCTGGGAGAGGCGGAGGAAAGGAAATTGACTGCCGAGCTGGGGGCCCCGGGAGACACTCGAAAGGAGCTAAGTAGGTAGCCTGTGAGAGCCGGCGCCCCAGCTAAGGACTACTACCTGTTGAATGGAACTGGTCTCGTGGAGGTGGAGGGGGAAGAAGGGCGAGACACCCCAGGGAGCGGACCCTTCTCCTCCGGAGCAGCCTCGCGGGGCCAGTGGGATCTCAGTCCCCCGTGCAGGGGGCCCCGCCCTGGGAAGCCTTGACTGCAGACACTGTGATGAGAGACACCAACAGAAACAAGGGGGAGGCGGCCCACTGCAGCCGGTCTGGCCCGCTCCCGCGGTTAGTCACTCACATCTGATACTCGTCTATCGCCTCCACCAGCTGGCCCCAAGAGTCGAAGTCGGCGCCTCTCCTAAAACTGGCGCCCCAGCGCTGCAGCAGACTCCGGGTCACCTCCGACATGGCCGGTCCCCACCCCGTCCCCTCCCGCCCCTACCCAGCAAGGCCGGGCTCTAGGGCGCCATCCTCCCCGGGCCTGGCCCCGACATTAACAGAGCCGGGAGGAACCGCTAAGGCCACCACCGCCACCCGCCGAGGAGCCGCCCAAGCCCATTTGCCGCCACAGCCAAACTTTGCGGCTCCGAAGCGGCCGCCCCGCCAAGGCCCCGCCCCCTAGGCCCCGCCCCTGTTAGGTTGAGGCCGCCCCACTCCGCCGAGGGCCGCCATAGCTATTGCGGCATCCTTTCTCGGCTTGGGAATCCCACCATCTCTTTCCTTCCTCTCGGGGGACGACATTGAAGCCCAAGAGGAAGGACCAGGGAGAAGTTAGAAAACTCCAGTGAAAGGAGCGTTTTGAGGTGGCTGCGACAGTGAAGCAGCCCCCGCCCGTGCTCGGTGAGCACTGCCGCCTCGGTAGCTGTCATGGCCGTCAGTCACGTGACCCAGACTCGGCCCGGGCTTGGTTTCCAGTCGCTCTAGTTCAGGACTCTTGTTTCTTCGATTCCCTCCTATTCTCTCTTGCGGACTCTAGTACTGCTTTTCTTTCCTCAGGAAGAGTGCCGTACAGACTCTTGAGAACCCCGGTAAGTATGTCAGAGGACGGGCGTTCCCCACTAATATCCCTCTCTCTCTTATTCCCTGGAGTCCAAGCATTAGGGTCACCCCCCTTTTACACCGGTCTCTTTAGATCCTTGGATGGTGATCTAAAAAAGCCACCTTCTAACGCCCTGAAGAGAAAGAAAACCCATATTGGTCCCGTGAATCAATGGCATTAACAGCTGGATTCGCTGAATCCCTTTGCCCCGTATCTCTATTAGCTGTTAAGAGCTTTTATAAGCGAAGTAGGATTTCTTTCGGTAGTCGTTTGCCCGCCCCTCTCGGTTGATACTATCGGCTTTCCACCAAAATGCCTATTCCCAAAGMAAGGGGCGCGCTAGTGTTGGCGCGTGCGCAGCGGTGCTGCCCGCTGTCTGGAATCCGACGGGGCACGGAAGGAAGAGGCTGGGTGGTAAACAGGAAGTGGGCTCTCAGAGCTCCGGACCCCTCTCAGGTAGGTTTCTCGGGGACCCACGTTAGTGTTGGTGGTCTTATGTGCTGCTGGGCTAGTTGACGTACTCGAATGTTGTGTTGGTGCTTTTAAAGGCACTCTTGCACCTGCGGAGGGGGCTGTCGCTTCCACCCACCCTCGGAATTCCTGAATACGGTAGAATGCAGGGTCACCGAAAGGTTGGAACGGTGGGGGAGAGGCAGAGTACAGTACTTAAAATCAGTGTTTGCAGAAAATATGCTCTCAGAGAATTAAGCCCAGAGTGTGGCCCTCTCTCTAGAGAAAGCTTGGAGTAAGCGCACGCAGATGCTGTCTGTAGGCTGAAAAAGAGGCTTATGTAGAAGATGTTTAGATGACATTTTCTAAAAGGACTCGTTAAGTGTTTTAAGTCGTAAATGAACCTGCCCAGTTTTTCCATGAGTGCACAAGGCATTCTGTTCACGAAATCATTCGGTGCTTCTCAAAACCAGTTTTGTCATGAATAAATATCTTAAAGGAAGTGCTTAATGTAGGTTTTTTATACACTGTCAGTCGACATATTTTTTCTAATAAGAAAATTTTGATTGGCAACCTGTGTAACAGCTTTCAAATTAAGTAAACATGGGAATTTTTTTCAATACTGTTTCCGGGAATCTAATTGCCATATGTAAATCTTTGGCTTGATTTTCCTGTATTATTACATACACTACCTACCCGGGGACTTTTAGGTAAGAGATACAGTAATACTTTTCTTTTTTAAACTTAAAAGCTGTGAAACAATTTTTTTTAATTTGGCATTTCAATTAGGTAGGTTTTCAAAAGTTTTTAGGTTACAGTTATTAATCAAATATTGAATAACATTTTTATTATAAAATATTGACTCAGCTATTTTATAAAAATACATTTATTATAAAATACATGTTATCCATTGGTGTCTGCAATATGTGGGAAATATAGTTAACTTAAATCCTTAACAGTATAAATGAGGGTCATCATTTCAACCTCTTATGGAAATTTCATTCCTCTGATCTTGTATTCTTACTTGCAGCTTTCCAACCAAAGTCTAGTACTTTACTACTCAAAAGTAGTCTGGGGAGTTGCAGCATTAGCATTTCAGGTTTTCTCCAAGACTGTTAAGTTAGAACTTTAATTTCAACAAGAGCACTACACCCTCAGGTGATTTTTTTTTTTTTCCCCACCCGTTAACATTTCTGCTCTGATATATTTTAACATTAACGTTACTGTGAGCATCTTTCCAAATGCTGTTTTTGGGGGTTTTAAATTTTTTTTTTAAATTTATTTTTCAGTTTTGGGTGCATACAACATATTTATTTTTATTTTATGTGGTGCTGAGGATTGAACCTCGCGCCTTGCACATGCCAGGCGAGTGCATTACCGCTTGAGCCACATCCCCAGCCCCAAATTCTGTTTTTTAATAGGCCTGATGTAAACATAGACTACTATAAATAAGCCACCACCTAAAACAAACTTGATTTGTGTAGGTAAAGTATTTTATTTATATATGTAAGTAATATATCATTTATATATAAAATGAACATATTCTATAGTAAGCTCTCAACTTAAAAATAACTATTTCTATACTACATTCATTGTTTATGAAATATTTTATTTAATTTATGTATTTTTGTTTTATTTACAGAAAACATCCAGAAATAATGACCCATTGGTTTCATAGGAACCCTTTAAAAGCTACAGCTCCTGTCTCTTTTAACTACTATGGTGTGGCCGCTGGTCCTCCTGCTTCAAAAATTTGCAAGTATGTGTTAGACTCACAAGTCTTTTTGCCACTCTTGGATAAATGGTACTCTTTAGGTTCCATGGTAATACAAAACTATGTAACACATTGTTCCTAACTTTCAAATTTATAAATAATAGAGGAAGAGTTAAATTTTGGCAGTCATTTAGCCCTTGGTCCTTAATTTAAGACCAGTAAATGAATCTTAAATTTACTGGGTCTAAAGCAATGACAAAAAAGTCAATAGTGTAAGAGACTCGATAAAATAGGATATGGACATTTTTAATTGGCCAGATAGTAAGTTCACTGAGTTCAGAGCAGGGAGAGATCCTTATGATTTGCAATGACTATTAAAGTGATATAGGAGAAAGAACTTGAACTGGAATTTACATAAATTCTGTGGCTTAATTCAGGGATTGGCAAACTGCTTCCCACAGGTTCAGCCTACTGCTTGTTTTTGTAAATGAAGTTTTTTTGGAACACAGATCCACATTTATTTATGTATTATCTATAGCTCCTTTGGGCTGGTTTCCTCTACAATAGCAGAATTGAATAGTTCTGGCTGAGACCTTATGGCCCACAAAGCCTGACATATTTACTATCTAGCCCTGTATAGAAAGTGTTTAAGGATTCCTGATTTAGACAGGGGTGAAAAGAGTGATTTCTATCAAGGAAACCATTGTTCTAGGGATAAGAGAACAATTTGGCTGGAGCAAAAAGGAGAGATGCAAGAGGTATTTCAAAGGAGTAGTTAGCTGACTGGACTGGCTCTGAGATTGAAAAGGTTTCAGTCTGTTTGAGATGTAAAACAAATAATTCAGATATTGGTGATCCCAATATAGGACAGTCAGGAGAGATACTGCGTTGGAGGAAAGAAGTGATTGTAGTACAAGGCAGGAAAATTTGTCTTATTAATCTAGACCAATGATCAGCAGACTTTTTTGTTTTTGGTATTGGGGATTGAACCCAAGGTTATTTAACCACTGAGCCACATTACCAGCTCTTTTTATTCTTTATTTTGAGACAGAATTTTGCTGAGTTACTGCAGGAATTACTAAGTTGCTGAGGATGGTCTGGAACTTATTGTCCTTCTGCCTTGGCCTCCAGAGTCTGGATTACTTGGGCATGTGCCACTGTGCCCAGCTTCAGCAAACTTTTTGAAAAGCAATAAATAATAACTATTTTAGGCTTTATTGGCCACATAGAGATGTTGTTTTGTATTCTTCTTTGTTCTTTTAAGTAGTCATTTTTAAAAATATTTTATTAGTTGTTGATGGACCTTTATTTATTTATATGTGGTGCTGAGAATCGAGCCCAGTGCCTAATACATTCTAGGCAAGCACTGTACCACTGAGCCACAACTCCAGCCCTTAAATAGTCATTTAAAAATGTAAAATACATCCTTATTCTGTGGGCCATACAAAAATAAATTATAGTTTCTTGACCCTGAATCTAGACTTCAAGAGGCTAGGCCCCACTTCAATTGCTTTTTCCGTAGCCTTAGACAAGTTCCTGAACTTCTTTGGACTTAATTCCTAATCTATAAAATAAACACCCTACATCAGATATTTACATTTTTCTCTAATTCTATAATTTTAAAACGAATATTATTTTACCCAAGTTGAACTATAGGTGATGATTGAGTACCTCCATGGGAATTTCTGGCAAACTATTTTAGTCTAGAATAGGCCTTAAGGATTCACATTTCTTCTGAGTTTAGGAATCACTTCTTTCATTTTCTAGATAAAGTGAAATCTAGATGCCTCAAACAATGACGTATTCATAAGGTAGCCTGTCCCATTTTTAGTCAACTACATGTAATTATTGGTATAATAAATTAATAAATTTAATAATAACTTTGAAGTAAGCCTCCTCAGAATTAGTACTAATGAATAAGCACTGTATCCACCTCATTCAGGATTTAGTCCATGCTCTTTTCTAAACATCATAACTGTGTTACAACCCTCCTAATCTCAAGAAAATATATGCAAAGCTATTATTCTTCCACTCAACAAGTAAGTTTGAATATGTGTTTTATCCTAGCTACCTACTGAATTCTTGTATGCAGCCCGTATTCTCTTGGTGCTCACAGTTTAAATCCAGTCTGTCTTTAATTACCTAATTGAACTTGCAATCCTCCTGCCTCAGTCTCCAGAGCAGCTGGGATTATAGATGTGTGCCACCATGCCTAGCAGTTACTTAACACACATTTTAAGTGTCTTCAGTCATTGTTCATGTAATATGATTTCTGGAACACTGACTGAGCTATTTGCCTTCGGGATTAGATGTGGATATGGACAGAACCAAGTTAGAGCTGACAATGTAGATCTAGGAATAAAAGGTAGTTTTAAGATGTACTAATAGATGAGATCTCAAAAGATAAAACCAGAAAGCCCAAGATTGAACAGTTTCATAGGTGGAAATAAGAAGGGGACATAGAAAAACATGAGGAGAACTTTTAGATATAAAAAAGAGCACCTAGAAAATTTAGTAACATTGGAATTATGGGAGAAAAGAATTTCAAGAAGGAAAAGGCAGATCTGTGGTGTTTTGTTTTGCAGCAAAGAAGTAAAGGATAATAGAGTGTAGGGAGCCATTTTTAAATGATTAATARCCACATGTTCTATGCATTGAACTACAGAATGCAATTTCACTTTTAAAACTTTTCTACTTAATAAAGTGTATTTTGACATTCTGTGAGTAATGTCTAGTTTAGCCATTTTAAACCATTAAGTCTCAAGTTTTAATTCTGTAAACATTTCAACAAAATTGGTTATTTAGTTCTAATTCCTCCTGTCAATCTTAAATGCATACATTTGTTTGATTGATTGATTGATTTTTTTTTTKTGTGTGTGTGTGTGTGTGTGTGCGTGTGCTAGGAATTGAATCCAGGGGCACTTTACCACTGAGCTACATTCCCAGCCCTTTATATTTTTTATTTTGAGACAGGTCTCAATAAGTTTCTTAGGGCTTCACCAGTTGCTGAGGCAGACTTCAAACTTGGGATCCTTCTGCCTCAGTGTCCAGAGTAGCTAGGATTATAGGCATGAATGCATGCATCACCATGTCCAACTTTGATTTATTTTTTATAAATTAAAACTTGCTAGGTATTCTTATTGCATAATTTTTATTCATAAAAATTGGACTAGGTTTATTTAGTACAACTTTTTAAATATTTTTAGAAACTTCATTTATCTCCAGTGTTAGTCCTAATCAAATTTATTGCTCTGTACTTGATGATACCTTAAAGGAGATAGTGGAAGATGATGGGTGTTATTTTTTTAAAACTTTTACATTAAAACCTTTAAGCCACTTTTACACAGTCATTGTAGTACAGYTTACTTAATTTTATTGTGTCTGTTTTGTACAAGTGACTTGAGAACATCCAGGGCACGACTCCTTGAATTATTCACCGATTTGAGCTGTAATCCAGAAATGATGAAGAATGCAGCAGATTCATACTTTTCACTCTTACAAGGTCAGTTACTTGTATGAACTTCTCAGCTAAAAAATAAAAAAATTATGCAGAAGTTAATATTTAAGTCTTATACACTTTTCAAATTTGGACAGTTTAATTTCCAGGCCATACTTGTATGCTTGAATTTCAAAAATGTGAGAGTGTAATGGTAGTGTGAGGTTTAACATTTTGAGAATTAAATATGTACATATTTTATATTACATTATCTCAGAAAAAGGTGTGAGATGTGGGAAGAGAGAAGGGGGCCAAAAAAATTCATTCAGGCACCTGGAAAAGTAATTATCTGAAAATATGTCCAAATAGAACACATGATATTTATTCTAAATCTAAAATGTCTTGTATCTTTTTGTAGGTTTCATAAATTCACTGGATGAATCTACCCAGGAAAGCAAGTTGCGATATATTCAAAATTTCAAGTGGACTGATACGTTACAAGGACATGTTCCAAGGTAAGCAATATTAATGTACTAAATGGAAGCTAGTTTTTGTAACTATATAGCCAGCCATTAACTCATAGATTCTGTATTTGAAGAATAAAAGTAAGGTCTGATCAGCATTTTCTCTTGTCAGGAAATTAATTAGAAGCATTGCATTCTAATTCTAATATATAGTATTAAGTAAAATTATTAGTTGTTTCTCCCAGAGCATGTCTATTTTTTATAAACTCAATACAAATACTAATAAAAATTGAACAGTTTTATTTTAATAAGACACAAAGAATGTTTTAGAAATTTGAAACCTAAACTGACTTTCACTCTTTGCCTACCTTCAAGCCAAGCAGAATTTTGGTTTTCCCCTACTTTCTTTTTTAAGGGATAGTTCAGAATATTTTGGTCAGTCTGTATCTGTCTTCTTTTTTTTTTTTTTTTTTTAAAGAGAGAGTGAGAGAGGAGAGAGAGAGAGAGAGAGAGAATTTTTAATATTTATTTTTTAGTTCTCGGCGGACACAACATCTTTGTTGGTATGTGGTGCTGAGGATCGAACCCGGGCCGCACGCATGCCAGGCAAGCGCGCTACCGCTTGAGCCACATCCCCAGGCCCTGTATCTGTCTTCTTAACTCTTAACTCCATAGTCTTTTGATTCTAGATATTTGKTTTTTTTATTTCTTTTTACTGTTTCTACTCTGTTTACAAACTTTCCTTCAGAGCTTTTTCATCACTCACTTGAAACTAACGTAGATGAAATTATAGCAGGAAATATGTCATAGTATTAACTTTATTCAACTACTTTTTTTGTTTTTAAACATCTTTCAATTGTTAAAAATACCTGTATATTTTCATCTCAATTTGCTGTAGAATTACTGTTTTGTAAGAAAGAAAGGGCTGAGCAATTGCTGGAAGAACAGGGCAAATAGTGCATTATATAGAAAGAGAATGGAGGTTGAATTTACACATAGCATCTAGGTATGTAGCATAGCATCATACCTAGATGCTATTCCATGTTTTCTGCAAAGGAAACATCTGCTTCTTCAACTAGATTTTGGTGTTATAAGACTTTGTGAGGAACAAATAAGAAAACTTAGGTTATGTGAATAATATTATAATGCCAGGCATTTAAGAAGACATTCACTAAATGTTAATTAATTTTTTTCCTTGGGAATATCTTGTGTAGAATTCATAATTGGATAGGAAGTAGGGAAGATGGATCCTTTCTAAATATTCATAGTTTCAAGTTAATATTCAAACCTTTATTATTACTACAGACTTTGGCGGATTCTAAAATGTTTTGCATTGTGTAAATTTGGCCTACCTACCAAATTTTTATTCCATGTTACAGCAAGCTACTATTTATTGTTTTTTTTTAGCATTTTATGAGAGAGTGAAAAATTATGTGATGAAAACCTTAAGTAACACTGAAAACTTAGTACATGTGAGATTTCTAATTTACTTTATGCTTTATTTCTACTTATTCAGCTGAGATTGTGCTGTGAATCTTATCTGCTCGGAAAAATTATTTCTTGGAGTATACATGCTCTGACTGCTACTTAGATGTGGTGTCACAGAAATGGAGTGTTTTGGAACAAGGTGGATTGAAAAAAAATGAGTATAAAAAGAAAAGAGTTATTCATTAGGCTTCATGTAAATTAAGAAAACTGTCATGTGATTTAAAAGTAACATTATAAATTAGAAATACACGGTAGATCACAGGGTGTAATTCATTTGAAATTTCTCAAGTTTCAAAAAGAATAAGCTATTTAACTGTGAATAACTTTTATTTAAGATGGTAAAACTGTTTTGTGAGGTTTGTTCATAAACTTTTTCATGTAATGTACATGAAAATTACATTAATTTATGACTATAATTTGTAAATTAAATTATATTTATATTTAAAATTATTTATAAATTAACTATCTATAACTTATTTTAATTACAATGTTTTCTAGCTTTCTGTGTGTGTATGTGGTGCTGGTGCTAGGGATTAAACCCAAGGCCTTACACATACTAGACAAGGGCTCACACCTCATAAATTTTGTTGTGTTTTTGTGGTACTGGGAACCCCAAGGCCTTGCACATGATAGGCAAGCTCTCTACACTGAGCTACATCCTCAGCTCTTTAATTTTTATTTTGAGAACAGGTCTTGCTAATTTGCCAAGCTGGTCTCAAATTTGTAGTCCTTTTTCCTGGGATTACAGGTGTGTGCCATTTTGCCTGGCCAAAATCAATAAATAAAATACAAAGTAGAGACATCCTTCAAAACTTTTCCCTTTTGGTAACTTTTCAGTATCTATCTTATTTTGCATAAGGATGCTATTTTTGCTTTCTTATTTCATCAGTTGAAATTAATAAGATAGTGTGTAAAGAATTTGCAGGTTCTTAAAATGATGGTGAATAAATTGGTGTTCATATCATTTACTTAATGCCATTTACCATCTTTTAATGCTATAGTAATAGAATAGGAAGGAAATAAGTACATATACTTGTTTTCAGGACCTTTTCCTTTGTAAAATACTGATTCAGAATCTTCTATAGTTTGCTTCATTTTGACATTTCATCTTCCTTTTCATCCATTTCTTTTTACATTATCTGCTGTAATCAAGCAGTTTGGGTCAGTTTTATCAGAAAAATCTTTATACTTTCTTGTGCTTTGACACCTTAAGTTTCTCACCTAGAATGTCTTTTGCTTCCCTTCTAATCATCTCTCAAGGCACAATTCAACTTTTATATATACCATTAATCCTTTTTTAATCATCCTAGCCTAAAACTACCTCTCCTCTTAATTCTGTTTTCTTAATATATGGTATAAGAACTATCCATTTCAGAATCAATTGAGTATTTTATAGATTCTGGGCTCCATTCCAGACTTTCTAACTTTTTGAGGGTAAGTCCCAGAAATCTGTGTTTTTAAAGCTACTCCATCTACAGTAATCTTTGGGAAGTACTATTCTTATGTTATTCAGTTGTATAGTACATATTGCATTACTATATTTAGCCATTCATTGATAATTATTGGGTCTTATCTCCCCATCTATATTAAACACAGAACCATTTTCATTATTCCTACTCACACATGAACACATACTCAACCACTTAGCATATAGATCTTTGTAATTCTGAGTTGGATATTCAATAGGCTTCATGTAGCAATATCTCAATAATTTTATAGAACTCAGTTGGGTGTGGTGGCACATGCCTGTAATTCCAGCAACTCGGGAGGGCAGGAAAATTGGAAGTTGGAGGCCATCCTCATCAATTTAGTGATACCATGTCTCAGAATAAAATAAATAAATAGAAATGTCTAGGGATGTAGCTCAATGGTAAAGTGCCCCTCAATGGTAAAATCTCCAGTTAAAAAAACAAAAAACAAAAAATTTACAGAAAATAATAATCATGTTTTTAATTTCAGTGCCCAGCAGGATGCTGTTTTTGAATTAATTTCCATGGGATTTAATGTAGCTCTGTGGTATACCAAATATGCTTCAAGACTGGCGGGAAAAGAAAAGTAAGTTAAAAGAGAAAGGGTTTATGTATGTAATATGATGTTTTTCAAATATTTTGAGTTTCATTATAAAAAGTTTAGGCTGCTGATTAAAGAGTACCATGTTGAGTGAGTGTACATATTTTAAGTTTTAGAATTAGGGAGCCTAGTGTTAAGAGAGGAAAAAATTTTTAAATAATCTTGTAATGTGAAAGGTTTCCCTAAATAAGACTCCATACCAAGAAACTGTAGAAGGAAGGATTGAATATTTGTCCACTTAGAAGTCCTATGAACATAGTTTAAGAAGCACATGACAGAATTGGTTAAAACATTGCAATGCATATGATAAATTATTCATTTCTTAAAATGTATACTCTTACAAATCATACAAATCAACAAAGACCATCAAATTAGTTAAAAATAAGCAATGGACATGAATAGGCTATTCATAGAAAAAGAAATGCAAAAGGTTTTAAGTATATGAAAAGATCTTGAAGGACTAAAAGAATTACAGAATAAAATGAGGTGAAATTTTTATAATAGCTAAAGTGTCTAGAGCAATAGGAAATTGGCAAAATTGTTATAATTTATCCATACATAGGAATAGTATGATACCATTGAAAAATGAAGTTGAATCTTGTGTACTGATATAAAATTATCTCTAAAGTGATTAAAATTAGTAGAGTAGCGAATATAGATAGCTATCATTTCATTCATTTCATATGTATAAGTGCTTGTTTATAACAGAAGAATGTAGAAGGTAAGACCAGAAGACTTCATTTCAGAGTTCAGAGTTCACCTCTAGGCAGGTCTTTTTTTATTTTTGGAAGTATCTTCTCTTTGGATCTCGTTTGCATTTGTTGCTTTGACACTTAAAAGTATCAAGATTAGATTTTTTAATTAAATGGAAGAAAACTAGTGATGAGAAATGCAAACAATTAATTTGGCTTAGTGATAATGTGTTAGTTGTTGTTCCTAGTACCTGAAATGCGATTCATCCTCTAACAATTTAACACTGTCTTTAAGCATAACAGAAGATGAAGCTAAGGAAGTCCATCGAAGCCTGAAAATTGCTGCTGGGATTTTCAAACATTTAAAGGTAAAAATATAAAATTTTTTGTAGAATTTCTAATGCTTTAATTCTTAAATAATTTATCCTTTCTGGCAAGAGAGGAAGAATGTTTACACACCTCATTATGTATAAAGAGCTGGTACTGTCCCTCCAGTATCTGCAGGATACAAACTGCTCCCTTTCCCTAGGGATGCTAAAATATGTGGATGCTCAAGTCCCTTTTATAAAATGGCACAGTGTTTGCATATAATGTGTGTACTCCCTCTCGTATTAAATCATCTTTAGGGCTGGGGATGTGGCTCAAGCGGTAGCGTGCTCGCCTGGCATGCACGGTGCGCTGGGTTCAATCCTCAGCACCACATAAAAATAAGAAAAATAAAAAGATGTTGTGTCCACCAAAAACTAAAAAATAAATATTAAAAAAATTCTCTCTCAAAGAAAAATCATCTTAAGTTTGCTTATAGTATCTAATACAATGCAAATGCAAATGTTGTATCGGTAGTTATTACACTGTGTTTAGAGAATAACGACAAGAAAATAGTATACATGTTCAGCACACATGCAGAGTCTTTTTTTCAAATCTTTTCAGTCCAAGGTGTGTGTGTGAGGATGTGGTTGTGGAAACTGAATATGTAGGGCTAACTGCATATGTTCTGTTTTCCATATTTAATAGTACCTTATTGATGAGTTCGGTTTCTGCATTTTACTTTTAAAAACATCAGAGACTCTTACAATTAGAAATCTTCAGTTGTAATACACTGTTTATTTTTCTGTCTCTTCTGAAAAGTTATAGACAAAAACAAAGCGTTTCTCATTGTTCTCTGAAGCAGGTGTCAGCAGCTGTCACAATTCCACAGAACTGAACTTTTGACGTATTCTCAGTACATCAATGAAAATGTTGGAGAGGCGATTATGGCACTCATACATTAAATTGCTTGGAGCTATAGTGGGCATTAGGAGAAAGAAGAATGTGTTTTCCAACTAGAATTCCCCTTCTCTTCATTCTAATTAAACTACTATTTATTAAAGAACTCATGGAGGCTCAATGTCAGGATTTTTTCCCATGATAAAATAAGATGCATCTACAGTGATGAAAAAGCTAGGATACTGAATTTAGGTGGAAAATTGTAGTATTTTCTTTGTATCTTTAATTATTAATATAAATGAGCAATTCAGGCTATCATACAAAAAGGAATTTTGTTTACTATTTCAGTGAAACATTTTCTAAGGTGAAAGTGTGGATTCCATATGGAATAGTCTACTATAACCAAAATTTTGCTCTTGAGTTTCTTTTTCTTATAAAAGCTAAATTTTGGTGTACAGGGGCTGATATTATCTGTAAGTTTACTGTTGCTCCTTTTTTAAAATTTTTGTTTGTACATTAAATTTCTGGCAAATTTGTCAATTGAATGTCTCGTTAGTTTCATTTTTTTTCATCTCTTAACAACGGGTTAACATGAAATTTGGCATCTTCTGTTTTCTTTCAGGAAAGTCATATCCCAAAACTTATTACACCTGCAGAAAAGGGAAGGGATCTAGAGGCACGGCTCATAGAAGCTTATATTATCCAGTGTCAGGCTGAAGCTCAAGAAGGTATCCTAAATATTATAAGATTTTTCTTGTTTTTATTTTAGAGAAAGTCTATATTTGCATTTAATTAATCTTTTTTAAATAATCAGAATTAGCTGCAATTGAGATTCAGTTTTTAGAAATTTCAGGAGGAATAATTCTACCTTTGACATTGAGCTAGCAGGAACAGATCTTACAACTTACTGACTCTTTTTTTAAAGAGGATTTTGATCCCCTGCCATTTCTGACAGTACAAAACTAGTTCTTTAACTCTTTGTTTCCCCAGCTACCACGTTCATTCTTTTTCTCTTCCACTGTTTGGCTTAGTTTGAAGTCTTTATCTTTTCAGTGGCAAGAAACAGTGGGACTTATGTGATAACAGGAAACAACTTTCTAAGCTTTTGGATTTTTTCCAAATGCCAGTGCTCTGAAAGTATTTTTTATATCAATCTACATTGTAGTAATTCTCTGCAGTTAACTAGTAGTTGGCTATTGATTTATTTAATGAAATGGTAACAGAACCAACAAGCTATGTTTTCTGTTTGTATTTGCATTTTCTATTCTTTTCATAATAAAACTTAACAATAATTGTATGAAAACCCAAAAAGATTATCACACTTTCTTTTGCTATTAAAAGTGAACTTACTCTGAGTGGAAAAGAATGTAATTATAGGTTCCTTTTATTGTGTGTTGGTTTTAGTAACAATTGCCCGAGCAATTGAACTTAAACATGCTCCTGGACTAATTGCTGCACTGGCATATGAAACAGCCAATTTTTATCAAAAAGCTGGTAAGCTAATTCTGTTGTTATACTTTTATTCTTTATATTTTCAGATTTATTTGCTTTTGATTGAATAGGAAACAGAACAAAAAGATTCTAAGTTTTCCATTATTTGCAAAACTAGAATAGTATCTTCATTACTTCATTGATGTTTAAAGAATTAGAGTTGCTCACAGTTAATATGCTACATAACTTTTAATGGAAAGGATAGTGCTGTACTTTTTAACCAGTCATCTAATAACTATATGGTTTTGCTTTTAAGTTTTTGATCTTTATTGTAATCTTGTAATTACTATCTTTTCTTAGATGAGAAACAAACCAAAGAGTTAACATGATCAACCCAAAACTTAACTGCTAGCAGGTGGGAGGTTGAGACCAGAATACAGTTTCTCTAATTATCCTATTATTCTTTTCATTTACTAATTTAAGATCTTTGCATGTGTTTCTTTTTATGAGATGGTTACTGTTTTACTTGCTGAGTAGAGATAAGTTGAATAAATTCACAGCTAAGGGGAATAGACAAACATGTAATTACATTATTGTATCATGCGTTTTATGATGATGTTACAGCAGTGAGATGAGATCCTCAACAGTCTGGGCATGCTAGAGAAGGCTTTCTAAAGGAAGGTTGCATCTTAGCCTCATTTTGAAATATACATAGAACTTTTTGTTATGTTTCTTAGAAAGCATTAGTGTGTGAGAATAGAACATTTTGTGCTATTTACAATTTAAGAAAGAACTTAGCATATTTTGGCACTTTCAGACAGTCGTAGGTGAAACACAGAATGAGTAAAACGAGAAGAGATTGGGAAAATACATTTGTGTGAGATAAAGAAGTGGTTTGTAAGCCTACCTAAAAAGTTTGGCCTTGATTCTATAGATATTTGGAATCCATTTTATCTTAACCAGTGAGTCTGACTGGATTTGATTTGAATTTAAGAAAGATCTTTCTGGTTGCAGTATGAGATAGGCTTGCTGCATGAAGTAGTAGGCTGACTTAGCACTTAAGAAGAAATTCTGCCTTTGGAAAAGGAGAAAATTTGGAAGCAACATTATTTAAAATTCTTGGTCCATATCTATTTTTATCTATGTTTTTGTCTTAATCATCAAATCAAAGAAATGCCATGGTATTTAACTAACCCTATTATGTAGCTTGAAATATAATTATGGGAAGCTAAGTCATTTTTAATAAAGAAGGTTTTTTAAAATCTATAAATGCTTGAGTCTTAGATTTGAATGGCATTCTGCTTTTAGCATGAAAATACATGAACTAAAAGTCTTCTAGTGAATCAGGGTGAAATTATATTTTACTTTTTAAAATGTAACTTTAGATCATACTTTATCCAGTTTGGAGCCTGCATATTCTGCAAAATGGAGAAAATATCTTCACTTGAAAATGTGTTTCTACACAGCTTATGTAAGTATTAATAGCCCTAAATATGATGTAAATTACTCTCTTTCCATCCCCTTAAGCACCAGGTCTCTCATCTTACCAAAGTCTTAGCATTTTGCAAATAACAAGCAGTTCTCAGTAAATGTTCACTGACATTGTAGCCATTGTGAACTAACACAGGTGGAAAGAGATGATGTAGAATTGTAGACCTAGATTATAGCAGTGGAGTTGCTGTTTGATTCAAAACTCCCTGTAGCCTTTTATGTGCTTAACATAAATTTTCTCAAGTACAGTTGACTAAGTCCAGTCTTAAGGCATATCATACACTATATATCACCTAGATTGGAGAACCATTACTACAGACTATTTATCTGCTTATTATAGCCACCAAACTTAATTATTATTTTATTGATTAAGTGCTATGTGAGTCAAAACCCTTTTTCCAAGTCTAAATAAATGTATTTATTTCTTATAGTTTATAATCTGTTTTACTTTTACTATTTGGGACTACATGTAATCCCTGCACATTTAAAGAGTAAACTTTCAGGCTGATACATTTCTTTTAAAACTTCTTTAGTCCTTAACCTCAAAACAGTTGCTCTGCATTAGCACAGTAATTTCCTCCTTTATCTGCCATGTCCTGATTTAACAGATTTTAACAAGTAACTTTTGCTCTCAGGAAATGGTTAGAAGGCTAAGTTCAGCTAAAGGCTTGATATAATTCTGTCTTTTATATGAATAGAGATGGGAAAAGCTTACTCAAGTAAAGAGATCTAATAGATTATTTATACTTAAAAGAATGGATAAAGGCATTTATCTGACACATGTATAAGGATAGGGAGAGAATGAATAAAAGCGTATTTCTCTTTTTATTAGGCTTATTGTTATCATGGTCAGACTTTGTTGGCTAGTGATAAATGTGGTGAAGCAATCAGGTCTCTGCAAGAAGCAGAAAAATGTAAGTATTCCTGTCAGAATTTCAATTCTTTTATTAAAATAGGTATTTTACCATAAAGGGGGATAAATAGGCGGTTAAGAGGTTTTGGCCAAGATCATGAAAGGGAATGAGGACAGGTGAGGTAATTAGAGGGAGAAAAGTGTTTCAAACTTAGAACATGTAGAAAATGCCCATCTTTCCATTAGAGTATTATTATTGATATTTCTATTACTCTATGGAAGAGAAAGCAGCAGAAATCTTATCTTCTAATTTAAAGCTTTTTAAGCATAAATAAGGAACGTTTTATTATTATTAAACAGCTTTTATTCCTTTCATGTGCAGTATATGCAAAAGCAGAAGCATTATGTAAAGAATATGGAGAAACTAAAGGACCTGGACCAACAGTCAAACCATCAGGACACTTGTTCTTTAGGAAACTTGGAAACCTTGTGAAGAATACCCTAGAAAAATGTCAACGAGAAAATGGATTTATGTGAGACTAACTTAATATATAATATTAACATTATATCAGTTTATAGTTATATTGGAATATTTAATTAGTAATATCATGGTTTCTATTAGTCTGTGTTCTCAAAGGGTTTATGTTAAAGTGCACTTAAGTTTAGCATTATTTTTTTTCTTCTTTATAGTAGTGATAAAGTTCAAGTGTGTAGAACCTTTTGTGGTACTGGAGATTGAACCCAGGGGCTCTTAACCACTAAGCCACCTCCCAGCCCTTTTTATTTGTGTTGAGATGGAGTCTCTCTAGATTGCTTACAGCCTCACTAAGTTGCTGAGGTTATCTTTGACCCTGCAATCCTTCTGCCTCTGCTTCCTGAGCCACTGGGATTATAAGCATGTGTGACTGTGCCCAGTTTAGAACCTTTTAATTACTGACATGTAGCTTACTTCTTTAGGATACTCCCATGATGTTCTTATTTTCTCTGCATGTTTTATGCGTACCTTCCCACACACAAACACACGCACATACATATACATATACATATACATATACAACCATACATCTTCTCAACTCCCTTTGCATGTTCACCTCACTCTGGTTTTGGCTACCTGTTAAACAGGATAATTAATTTTTTCCAATCCTTCCTATTCCTTTAAAATAGTTTCCTTTATTTGTGTTCAAACTGTGAACCACCACCTTCGTTGGTTTGTAGAATCGATCTTGTCCCTGTTTTTAATCTCTGTACATTTTCCTCTTTATATTCTGCATATGATCGTTCCAAACTTTGCACTTTCTTAAACATGTCTAGTTCACATTTCATCACTTCCTTTGGAAATAGTTACTAATCTGTGTTAATGATCCTCTTTGTATTCTCATGGCACTTTATATCATAATAGCTTCAGTTAACTCTGCATTGTATTGACAAGGTTTCTTAACTTTCTCACCTACTCATCTGTGAACTACATGAGACAGGGAAATCTCTGACCCCTCATTACACTGATGATTATATTAGGAGCTCAGTTACTGAATAAATGAATGAATCACTATTTAAATTGCTTTTTTGCAGTTACTTTCAAAAAATTCCAACAGAAGCCCCACAGCTGGAACTCAAAGCAAATTATGGGCTGGTAGAACCAGTGCCTTTTGAATTTCCTCCTACAAGTGCTCACTGGACACCAGAAACGCTGGCTGCATTTGATCTCACCAAGAGACCTAAGGATGACAGTGTATGAGAGAGATTTTTCTTCTGCTCACTTTAAAAATGCTAACTCAGAGTTAGCATTTTGATGTTTTTCTCTATTTAAATAGATACCTGTTTGTCTATGTTAAATCAGCTAATTGTAGTGTAATCTTTTGTAGAGCACTGTGAGATAAAGCCTTTAGATCCTCAGTGGCCTCTGATTTTAAACATAACTGAATGACATCAACACATTATCTTGCCTTTTTACAACTTGTCAGTGCTTCTTCCTTAAAAGAGAGTGGGAGGAAAGATTATCCTTGTTTGTATTACCATAACAATACTCTTTTTTTTTTCATTTAGCATATTGCAGGGTATCTAATTCCAGCATTCCATGAATCATCCAGGTGTAAAATACTTTTATTCATTTATATTTAAGTAAATCTTGGTGTTCTAAATCAAGCTCAAGAGGAAATTTTGAGATTTAACTGCCAGCAAACTAGAAATCTATGACAAAAAGAATGGGAATAATTTTGCAAGAATAGCTCCTCCCTTCAAACTGCATTTTTTATGTAATTCCCTTCCCATACTAAAATCATTATTCTTTAAAATAACAATCTTTATATCCTGATCAGGCTCTTAAGAAATAGCCTATTACTGTCATAAGTTCATTCCAAACTTAGGGGTTCCATAGGCATAGACTGATTATTCATTTCTTCCTCGGAGAGTATAGGTTAGGAAGACCATTTGCTTGACTATAGGCAAAAGTAACTGTTTCTTAAAATGAGTTGATTTGTAGCTTCTGGGACAGCTTGTTATTCTCAATGTTACTTCATTCAGTATTGTACCTTTTGAAAGTCTAAAGTAGAAAAGATCTCCTGTTTGTTTTCTGAGTTTATGTAAGTGCTTAATATTGTATTTTTCCTTCTTTAGGCCAAACCTAAGCCAGATGAAGAAGTAAAACCTGTGAAAGAACCAGATATCAAACCTCAAAAGGACACGGGGTGCTACATCTCCTAAAACACAATATGTGCTTAGAATTCTACAAGTAGAAGAGGAAACTGAGAACTCTACAAGTAGAAGAGAAAACTGTAGAACTTTGGTACACATTTCTTGAAATAATTTCTCTGAAGCTTATAGCATAATTATTACATTCAGAGGGAATCTGCCTTTAGTTCGTTTGTTCTTGATTTTTAAGGTGGTAGACATGTTTTTAATCAGGACAACATTTGAAAGGTTTTATTGTGCCTCTGACAGGTGTATTTGAGGGTTAGATCTTTTTTGAATTCTGGTTAGTAAGTTTCAGCTTAATGTATTATAGGCCTGAATTGTTTTTCACGTATGTTTTTCTATCTTCACAAAAATGTTTATTTTTTTTCTCATTTGATACCAGAAGAATGGCAAGAATGAATTTTGAGCAGAGATGGTCTTTTTCCTGTGTTAATTATAGCACAGACTTGTTATGTTCTGAGTCATTTATCTTTTCTGGTGGGGGAAAAAAGCTCTTAATAGTTGAAGATCAGAAAATGTTCCTGTGAAATCCCTCAAATATACTGGAATCTATAATTTACTCAAAAATTAGTGTTTATAAATAAGTTGAGACCTCTAAGAACTTTTTCTTATTCTTGTATCTGCTTCATTCAGTCTCAAAAACCCTACAATTTTTTTTTATAAATACCTTTTCTAATGGGTTTTTTACTTAGAGGATAGAACTTTGTAAGTGTTTAATGTTTATATGTAAGGGAAGACAGTAAGAATGAAGAATGGTTTTTGAAGAAGTAATATTGCATGATAATAAAAAAAACTAAACGTGAATGAGATAGGTTGTCCTGTTATTACACTGGTAACTACTACTTTGTTAGAGAAGTTTTAGTAAAATACCTTTGTTAGCTGATTTTAGTGTACATTGTTTTTATATGGTTTTCTAATATATATATCTATATACATATCTCCTATCAGAATTGCATTGTTTTGGGTCAAAGGCCAAAGCAAAAATTTAGAGAACAAACAGATACAATATAATCTTAAAAAATGGATTTAATAAGGCTGGGGATATTGCTAGAGCACTGGGTCCAGTTCCCACTGTTGAGGGGGGAAAAAGATTATAATCATTTGAAACAGTTTAGTATATACACAGAATTGAGAAATAATGCATAATACTTAAACAAAATTCACACATCTGTAGATTTATCTTGTGTTGATTATTCTCCTAGAGTGTTAGATAATTTGCTATTATAAATGACACATTGGTTTTTACCAGAAATAATAAAAGTAGTGTATTTTGAGAGCTTACTATGTGCACTGTGCTGAGCACATATATAGATACACCATAACGCACCTTTAATAAATATGTAAAATCTGCATAAAGTGTCAAAATAGGAATATATGCATTTCATTTTGAAGAATGAACAAATTATGTCTAGCTGAACCAAGATTGTGTTCAAATAAATAATTGCTTAAATCAGATATCATAGCTTTCACCGCTTTTAAAAAGCTGCATAGAAATCAAGTTTTTTTTTTTTTAATATGTGGAAATGCTAACTAGTATTTTCAGTATATAAAATATTTAATATTTGAAGCTACAGTTTCCAGAATATTTGGAGCAATAAATGAATAGTTTTATTTTGCTGCTTATGGGAAATATTAAATTTCACTGTAAACAGTCACTACAAATTGACTTGTTTCTGTATGTTATCTGCTGACAATTTTAAACAGTACTTAAGGACCTATTTATCTTAGGTACTAGTGCTTATTTAACCTAGTTACTAAATTTTCACATTGATATTTTTGTGGATTATACTACCATGTATGAAATGGAAATATGCAGTATGCTCAGTGCTTCTRTAAAAYGCAGTTAATACTGGYATTTAAATAAATAATTGTCARTTTTGACATGWTCAAATAGTATTTTGTTGACTCAGCAAAGGWAACAYTTTATCCTTTTAATACCCCATTATATATAAGATTTTTTGAAAATGGTGTTGGAAATGATCAAATGTAAAGAAGTTGCATGAAGGCTAGAGGGAGATGTAACTATTTGTATTAACCGTTGCATAAATTTCATACCAGGTTATGACAGCTTACATATTGCTTCTGCTAAGTATTGTTTGTATAATGAATTATCTTTTTATTTATGAAAATAAAAGCAATTTTACCTACGTTTTCATTGGACTTTTTGCTTTTTTTAAAAATTTTTTTTTAGTTGTTGATAGACCTTTTCTTATTCATTTATTTATATGTGGTGCTGAGAATTGATCAAAGTGCCTTACACATGCAAGGCAGGTGCTCTACCACTGAGCCACAACCCCAGCCCAGAATTTTTGCTTTTTGATGAATACTTTTATACTTCCTAAGCCAGTAGCAATTTGCGAAATGTTAATATTCACATTAATGGTTAAAAGGACAAATACAGAGCTGGGGTACAGCTGAGTGGTAGAGCGCTTGATTAACATGCATGAGGCTCTGGGTTCAACCCCCAGAATTGCAGAAAATTTTTTTAAAAATGACAGATTCATTTGTTTTTTGCTTTGTGTGCTTACTAATAAACCTTAATCACTCCTTGACCTGTTTGGTTTATACTTATGTTTATTGGTACCTATCACCTCTTAATCTCAAAGTAGGATTTTGATGGACCTGTTTATTTTTGATGCAAAAATATAAAGAATGATGCAGCATTTGTGTACTGTGGTAAGCTAAATTGGGGAGCTTATCATTGTTGTGCCAAAATCTGTTGAAAAGCTTTTGTACTTTGCACACTTGAGGTGGCATTTAAATAAAACCACTTGGAAATATTTCCTTACTTTCCAGAGTTTAATTCTGGTGCTTCAGAAAATACTGCATTTCTAATCTCATATATAATAGTAAACTCATGTCACATTGGGTTACCATAACTGTCTAAAAACTTTTTTATTTGTCATTTGAGTAATTGCTTAAAACTTAATTTTTTAAATTTAATTAATTAAATAGTTAATAGTTTATGAATTACAGAACAGAAAACATATTTGATCATGCTCATCTAAAGGCCTTAGCTGTCACACAACCCAGTGCATCTGATTCCCGTGATGTACTTGAGATAGTCCTAAGCTCATATAGTCACTTAGTATTCCCCTGAGAAAATGGTAGATGACCCTGTATCTTGAATCTTCATGTTGGTTTTTAGCCTTCTGGGAGCCTAACTGGCTAGGACCTGAGGTGGCTAGAGCTCCTAGGCTGGTCACCTTCAGAATTTCAAACAAGTTTTCTATATAGTGTCATATAGAAAAAGTTGGGAAACACCCCAGTGGGGAAGCAGGTTAAGTAATTTGGTGCATGTACACAGTTTAACACTGAAGGAAAAGAAAGATTAAAAAATCTTGCCAAGTGCTACTCTGTCAATAATTTTCAAGGAGCGAGCAGCAGTGGTTTGCTTATACATTGTGTTTATTCATATTTCATGGGTTTTCTGTCACTGTCCTGCTGCTGCTGCACGTATGCGTGCGTACGCACATACACACACGCACACATGCACACACAGACCCTAGGGCCAGTTGTCTCTGAAGTACTGTGTCTAAGCATGAGAAGTGGGGTTTTGATGGTCCCTGCCCTGCTCTCACAGAGGTTAGACCTTTAAGACAATCTCAAGGGAAGAGGGAAAAGTGGAAACCAGAAGGGGTGCCAGCGGTGGCCCAGGCAAACAGTGCCTATGAGCTCTTGTGTAAATTTCCCGGCACTGGTTCTTTGCTGCAATTTAACCGTATGCATTTGAAAACATTGTCTAGATAAAACTGAAAGAACTCTTTGCAAATTTTAGATATTACACTTTGAAGTTAAATGCCAAGCTGTAGAACTATTAATAGTGTTAATATAGATTACAATTATGTGTTTCAGCAAAGGAGTTAAATGAGTAGTGCACAGATGTAATGAGAAAATATTCATTTTCAAAATCAGGAAGTAAAACAGTTGCAAGGCTGTTCTTATTTTTCCAACCTATTATAGAGTACCTTCTCCCACCCATTAAAATTAAATATGATTCATTCATCAAACGTACACTGAGTTCCAGCTATGCATCAGAAGATAGCAGCAGAAGATAGACCAGTGAACATACAATTAAAAACCTTTCCTACTCTGCTAAAGGGCACAGGGAGGGAAGGGAAGAGGGAGGAAAGATGGGTGAAATGTGTTTGATGTTGATAAGTACTAAGGAGAAAAATGAAGCTGGAGGTAAGAAGTTCAGTGGTGGAGGGTGGTGGCGAAAGGAATGGTAAGTTTCCTGGGAGGAGTTACAGGAGCTCAGGGAAGGTGCTACTTGAGTTAAAGACCTGAAGTAAACAAGGGAACAAAGTCTAATAGAAAAAATAATGGTGGAGAGAGCAGCGAGCACAAAGGTCCCTGCAGGAATGGTGTTCCCTCAAGTGACTGCAGAAAGGAGGCCATGTGGTTGGAGAAATGTCACTAAGAGGAGAGTCATACAAGATGGAAGTCCAATGACAGCCTGGTAGGCCATCATAAGGGCTTCATCTTTTACTCTGAGTGACTCACTGGTGAGTTTTAAGCAGACAAGTAGCAGGATCTGTCTGACGTAATTTTAACAATTCTAACTGCTTTTTAACTGTAGAATGTAGGGGGCTTAATAAGACCATTGCAATAATATAGGTGAGAGGTGATGGCTTAGAGCAGGTGGTGGCAGTGAAGTGGTGAGAAGTATTAGAATTCTGGAAATATTTGAGAAATTTTCCTGACAGATTTAATGTTAGGTGTGATTAAAGGAAAAGAATCAAGAATGACTATGTTTTTGGCCATAGCACCTGGAAAAATAGAGTTGCCATTTATTGATATGGGAAGACTGCCAGAGGAGTAGATGTAAATTTGTCTGTGAATGGGGGTTGGGGGATGGGGTGGATTGGAGGGGTTTACACTCAAAACATGAGCAAAGATTTAGACAAATCAGAGTCTGTAAAATCTATTAGACATCCAAGAAGAGGTGTCAAGCATGCAGTTGCACATGTAAATCAGATTCAGAGGAAAACCCTGATGTGGAGAATGTAATTGTCCAAGTCATCTGTGTGTAGACAGTATTTAAACCACAGGGTCAAAGAGGAGCATCAAGGGATGCAAAGAAAAAAGGCCCAGTCTCTGAGCCCTGGGTTACTCCAATATTGTACAGTTGGACAGAGTATACGATCTAATTATATGTTTTATCCTTGATAACCTAGATTGGAGTTTTTAAGGCAGAGGTGTTCATAAGAACTAAACTAAAGTCAAAAGAGCTTGATACAGAGAGTATTTGGTCCACTGAAAGAGCACTTCTAGAATATTCATGTCTAGGTAGTGGTGTGAAGTTAGCAGTGCTCCCAAGGTTTATGAAAACAGATTTCAGTCAGCTATAGAGCCCCCTTTCTATGACAGGCCCTGTGATGACAAGAATGGATTCTGCATAGTATATTCTAAAACGCCCATTAGGTGGCAGAAAAAACATTTACTAAATCAACCGTGAGCTAGATCTCTTCCCTGCTACTTTAAAACCTCCCTAAAAACCTCTGAATTAAAACATGTCTCTGTTTGATGTGTATAACTATTATGAGGAACAGAGGCTAGTGTTTCCTTTAGAGAGCCAACATAACAGGATTGAACCAGATATGTGAAGGATGGGATGTGTGCACATGTATGTTTTATTTGGTTTGGAAAAGCATGGGTTTGGATGGTCTTAAGAGGAGTAAATCAACTATAATGAGATTAAAATCCTTCTTTTAAAATTTTTTATAGTTGTAGATGGATAAGATATCTTTGTCTATTCATTTATTTATTTATTTAATGTGGTGCTGAAGATTGAACCCAGTGCCTCATGCATGTAAGGCAAGTGCGAACTATTGAGCTAAAACTCCAGCCCTTTTTAAAAACTTTTTTATATTTAAGCTTTTTAAATAGGGTGGAGCAGAAGGAGGCTTAGGAAACAGAAAGCAAGAAACCTTCATGGAAGGTGTTTTGGACCCAGTTTGCTGTTTAAGCTTTCTGTATTACAAGTTACTGAATCACACAAGACTTTCTGTTTCAACTTCAGTTTCTTTCCTCTCGCTTCTTAGGGCACTGGGCTCCAAACTTGTCTACATGGTGAGCAGTCTTTAAAAAAATAATGATGCTTGCATCTCATCCCCAGACATGGTGATTTAAGTAATCTGGACTGTGGCCCATGTTTGGAATTTTTTTCAAAGCTCCCTCGCTGATTCTAATATAAAGACAAGTTTGAGAGCCACTGAGTATTGTTAATGGTGACTGTGTAAATCCTACAGACCTTTCCACAACTCAATCCTGTCCCACCCTACAAGACAAATACAGGAGAACACTTCCACGTCAGCATACTCAGGGGCTCTGTTTGTCCTCAGCCTAGTTTATCATCTATCAAACAAGTGTAGAACCAAATGTTGCCGTACTTCCAACACCAAACAGAACTAATCACATCAACAAAAGAAAATACAGCAGGATTATGTGAGTTGCTCTCTGGAAATGTTCTGATTTTGTTTGTTGTTGCACAGTGTATTTTAGTTCTTACAGCACTGGTAATATTTACTTTTTCAATGCTATTATGCTTAGCAATTATTGGTCTTAAATAACAAATTCAAATGGGTATTTTTTGACTTCTTTATGGAGTCAGAAACTAAAGGGTAACCTATCTTCCTATTTCTTGCTCAAGGCTCTTCTGGGATAGATTGGCACTAATTAAGTCAGGGAAAACAAATGTTTCATTCAAGTCTCCTCAGAGGTCCCTGGAGGGTCGGGTATAACATCTTCTCCCTGTGGAAGACCAGTTTAACCCTTTGTCTTCCAGGCCTTTGAAACTCTGAGCTTGGTAATGATAAACTCAGCATTACACAATAAGATTTGGTGATTAAGAGCTGGGGATGTGGCTCAAGTGGCAGTGCGCTTGCCTGGCATGCACGGGGCGCTGGGTTCAATCCTCAGCACCACATGAAAATAAAGATGTTGTGTAAAGATGTTTTGTCCACCGAAAACTAAAAATAAATATTAAAAAAATTCTCTCTTTCTCTCTGTCTCTTTAAAAAAATAATAAWAAAGATTTGGTGATTAATTTAAAACTACTTAAACTTGTATATGAGTACACATAATGTATGCATGTATTCATATGTTTGTATTGCCCATAAAATGTTCTCAGAATTTGTTAGTCCCCATTTTAATATAAGGCTGACAATCTATTTTCATTTGTAATAATCACTGATTTATTTGGAATCATTTCTAATAGTTTATTTAGTATTTTTATTAATCATGCTTTTTCTTTGCTCTTTTTTATCCTACTATTTTTTAATGTATTAACCTAATTTTGAAGTTTCCTATTTTTCTATTATTTGAATACTTGTATGAGGACTGATATAATTTGAATCTTGAATGTCCCCCAAAGCCTATGTGTTAGTAATGGCTTGATCCCCAGCCCATAGTGCTGTTGGGAGGTGGTAGAACCTTTAGAAAGTGGGCCTTAATTGAAAAAAGTTAGGTCATTGGGGTGTACCCTTGAAGGAGACATTGGGACCCTGGCCCCTTTTTCTTCCCCTCTCTCTCTCTCTTTTTTTTTCTGGCCATTTTGAGGTAAGAAGGTTGTTTGACAATGTGCTCCTGTTATGATTTGGTGCCTTATCACAGACCCAACAGCAATAGTGCTAACAGACCATGATTTAAGACCTCTGAAACCATGAAATAAAATAAAATTTTCTTCTTTATAAGTTGATCACCTCAGGCATTTTATTATGGTAACAGACTGCCAACAAACGTAAGAACTCTTATAATATCTTCATCTGCCAAACCTTCCTAATTATGATCAATTTCTTTGTATTGTTTTTGATATTTTGTAATAAGTACATCTTCAGCAAGGGTTGTTTTCAGGAGAGATTCATTATACCATGTCTTATTGAAGTTACTCCAAGGTGGTTTCATGTTTGTCTTTGACAGAGTTCTGTGAGTGTCTGTCTTTAGCTCACTTGTCTTCACTTTAGGACATCATACCATATGAAAACTGAATTTGGGCAGCATCTACTACTGACCTGAGGTTCTATTTTTTTTTTCAGGTGAAAGTTTCTACCTATATTTCCAAGAGGTGGCAAATATCTACTTTTTGCAGTCAAGGGGTAGCTTTTCCAGTCCGTATGTTATAGATAAGATAGTGCGTTATTACTTAGATGTGGGTTTAGGTAGCTTCACTTAAGCTCCCCACGCCCAGGGCATCTGTAATGTGTTCTCTCTTCTCTGTATCCGTGTTAGAACTCCAACTCCATGGCCTATATCTGGTTCTGAAACCCCAGGGGTCATCTGGGCTTTAGTTCACACTTATTTTTTTGTTCTTTTTCTGAAACTTAGGCTGGCTGGCTGGCTGGCATATTCTTCTCTTCTTCTCTATCTCCATCTTTATTCTGTTTCTCTCTCTCTCTCTCTTACTTCCTTAATGCAGTTATGATGTAATGTTTTTATTTGTTTAATTTTATCCAGGATTTCTGAGTGTTTGAAACAGGAGGGACTATTCCAAATTGTTGGTATAAGGTTAAAATACATTAAATATGAATTAAGGCAATAAGTGTGCTTACAATACTAGAGTAGTGCCTGACATATAAACTATTAGGCAGATGTTAAAAACTTAATAATAACTAGCTTTTATTAAGCACTATTTGCTAAGAATTATTTTAACTCCTTTATGTGTCTGTACTTATTGACTCCTTACAACAGTTATACAAGCTCGATATTATGTCATCCTATATTATTATTTAGTAGATGAAGAGATATGGTACAGGTATAATAAATAATAATATTTTTAAAATCTAGGTAGTCTGGCTCCAAAGCTTTTCCACTTTATTGAGATATAATTTAAATATAGTAAAATTAACTAATTTCAGTGTCAAATTTGGTTTATATTTAATTTTTTTAATTGTAGATGGACACAATACTTTTATTTATTTATTTATTTTTATGTGGTGCTGAGGATCGAACCCACTGCCTCACACGTGAGATGCAAGCACTCTGCCACTGAGCCACAATCCCAGCCCCTCAAATTTGTTTTGACAAATGTTTTCAGTCAAGTAACCATTACTGCAATCACAACATTAAAATGTTTTCATGACCCTAAACAGTTTTCATTTGTCCATTTGTAGTTCATCTCTTTCATCATTTCCAACAAACACTTCTGTTTTCTCTTATTATAATTTTGCCTTTTCTAAAATTTCACATGGGAAAAAAACACATACTCTGCAGTGTCTGGCTTCTTTCACTTAGCACAATGCATTTGAGAATCATTCATGATGTTGCAAATATTAGTTGTCTGTTATTTTTAATTGCTGAGTAGTATTCCATCAGACACACATATCACATTATGTTCACTCACCAGTTAATGGGCATTAAAATTGTTCTCTGTTTTATACTCTCACAAATTAAAACTTATGAATATTCACATACCAGTGTTTTCATTTCTCTTGGGTGAATATCTAAGGGTAAAATTACAAGATCATATGGTAAGTGTATGTTTGACTTTTATGAAACTGCCCAACTCTTTTCTGAAGTGGCTGCACCATTTTGCATTCCCACTAGCAATGTGTTTCAACACATATTCCCCAACACTTGGTATTCATATTTCTTAATTTTAGACCTTRTGATGGCTATATTGTTATATTTCACTAGAGTTACATTTTGTATTTACCCTCTAAAGCTACTGAGCATCTTTTCAGGTGTTTATTTGCCAATTGTAAATCTTCTTTGATAAAGTGTCTATTAAAATCTTTTCTCCCTGTTTTAATTGAACTGTTTGTCTTTTATCTATAGTTTACATCTGCAGCATTTCCCCAAAGCTCGCATATTGAAAGCATGGTTCCCAGTGCAACTGCAGGTTTCAGAGGTGGGGCTTATATTGCAATAATGGGATCATACCATCTCTGCCCTCATTTCAAATAGCTGAATGGACTACTAGGGGGTGGGAATCTAGTTAGAAGACGTAGGTCACTAAGGCATGCCCTGGAAAGAAAGGCGCTCCCATACCCCTATTCTCTTTCTGTCTTTCCTGGCTTTCATGAGCCAAGCAGCTTTCCTCTGCCTTGCCTTCCACCATGATGTTTCTGCCTTAAAGCCAGCTGATCGTAGACTGAATCCTCTGAAACAGTCTGAAACCATGATCCAAAATAAACCTTTCTTCCTCTAAGTTATTCTTGTCAGGTATTTTTTAGTCACAGAGACCAATAGCTGATGCACCAATGAATATATATATATATATATATATATATATATATATATATATATATATATATATATATATAATTTTTTTGCAAATGTTTTCTCTGCATAAAGTCTGTACTCTTAACACTCCCTATATTGCCTCTCAATTTAAATCAAAATGATGGAGAAACTTCTAAGCAGGGCAGTGGCCACTTTCTATTAGCAGTTGTGGGCTTTGCAGTCAGGAAACCCTGCTGGAATTTTTGTTTCAAGATCCAATGAAAACATTTTCACTAACTGAGTTTATTCCATTTTAGCACAGTACTGAACAGTTCTTTCTTGGACTTGAAGAATTGATGAGCCTTCGGATGTAATTACCTCTGAACTCTGTTTTTACTGTTAGTTGAAAATAACTAGACACCTCTCAGCTATATAAATACTGCCCTGGGCAATTTGCCCTAAGGTGTCCTGTTTTTAAGACACTAGTTGTCTTGTTTCCTAATGAAGAAAGACGATTTCCAGCAATTAGAACGAGAGAAGAGTCAATCTTCCAAGAAGACTACTCCCAAAAGGATTATCCATTTTGTTGATGGAGACACCTTGGAAGAATATAGCACAGAGGAGGAGGAGGAAGAAAAAGATGGACAGAGAATGAGTTCAACACTTGACCCTGTAAGCTTATAGCGTCAATACTGGTGCATGTGGGGCTGAATAAATGAGAGGCTGAGCCAGACAAGGTTTATAGAAAATTGAGTTTTACATTATTAAGCCCTCAGATCCCTTGTTTGCTTTCTAGATCCATATATAGACAGCTTATCATTTTGATCATCTTTGTTTTCTCATCTATAATAAGGAATATGGAACATTATTAAGCATTTTGAAATCTCTACATTAAAAACTCTGCAAGAAAAATAAGACTCTGCAGTCACCACGCCTGTTATTAATTATTCGAGTTTGATTTCTCTCTTTTTTTTCAGTCTAAACTCTCATGGGGGCCCTACCTGTGGTTTTGGGCAGGACGAATAGCAAGCAGCTCATTTTCTAGTAAGTATGGTTAAGATTTTTTTTTTTCTAGTCTTGATTTCGCTCTGATAGACCCTCTGAACTAGACGGGACTTGCAAAGGTTTAATCCACTCCATTCTGAAGAAGTGACTATTGGTCACAGAATTCTGAGTCTGTCCTTTATCTTCCCAGAGGTATGGAACCTCACCTCTTCATGCAGAACCTTCCATCTTTCGCCAACATTTAGTATTCTTCCTTGTCTTGGCCCAAATTTTGTCTACGTTTCAGAACTTCCTAGTCCTCCTGATTGTCTTTGAGCTATCCAAATCAGTCTAGATCCCTCTTTCACAGGACAGAATTTCAAATATTTGAAGACAAGATCCAGTCCTTCCTGGGTTGACTCTTCAATAAACTTTTATTTTTTAAAAAATTATTGTTGTATGACACAGTTTTAAGTTCCTTCCTCCTGATTACTCTGTTATAAATATAAACTTCATCAGCCCCTACCAGGGGCATAATGAGTGGCCTACATGCCTATTTGCAACAGAAGAAACACTGAATTTTATTTCATGTGACTTTTACCCATCTTCTTTTGAACACAACTGGCAACATCTAATTATTCATTTCCTTCTAACTTGAATATTCTTGTACATTTGACAGGGAGGAAACTTACTTTAATATTCTTAGAAAATATAAAATGCATCTCTTAGAAATTATTCTTTCATCATAAAACCATTACTGAGTGTGTACTATATTCCCAACATTGGGCCCTGGGACTCAGAGACAAATGACAGTCTCTGCTTTTAAGACACTCAATGTTCCTACACTGGAGAAGAGAGTCAAAAGTCCTGTGATTTTAAAGGAAAACATTTCTAGGAGACCCCTTGAGGAAAACACTTGTTGTTCACACCAAATATCAATCACTGACACTAATAGAGTCCTGAGCCTCGGCGTCCTTGCTACTATGACTGGAAGCAGACAAGAAAGACCTTGAACTTCTGCAAAGAAATTCATTTTCTCTAGGCATGGTGGTGCATGCCTGTATACCAACAGCTTCAAAGCCAGCCTCAGTAAGGCCCTGTYTCAAAAAAGGGCTGGGAGGCTGGAGTTGTGGCTCAGTGGTAGAGCGCTTGCCTAGCATGTATGAGGCACTGGGTTCGATCCTCAGTACCACATATAAATAAATAAAATAAAGATCCATTAACAACTAAAAATATTTTTTTAAAAAAGGGATGGGGATATGGCTCAGTGAGTAAGCACCCCTGAGTTCAACTCCTAGTACCAAAAAACAACAACAAAAAAAGCAAACAAACAAAGAGAAACCCAGAAGTTTGTCTTCATCCATGGAAGAACTTCTGACATTGATTTTGGTAACACTGTATTGAGTTTTTGGTACCATTTGAAATACACTCCTAACTGTTGTCCAGTGATTCATCTGGCAGAGGGAGAGTCTTTTCCAATTGTTCAAGGCCCATACTATACTTGTTCAGTGTTTCAAAAATTCTTCCTGACATATTTATCTGGAAAGGATAGCTCAAATATAATACCATATGAAGATAGAAGATTTCACAAATTTCCTTTGAGTCCTAGAATTTTTTGAGAGTCCAAGGCAGTTGAAATATTTTGTCAGTTAAATGTACTTAAAGTTAAGTGACAAATCACTTGCAGGCAAGTTTAAACCCTTGGCTCCTCAACTGATGCTAAGCAATAGTTATTGACTCAATTTGCCCAAGTTCTTATTCTCTTTTTTAGCTTGTGAATTCCTTGGTGGAAGATTTGCTGTCTTCTTTGGTCTTACTCAAACCAAATATCAATATGTGTTAAATGAGTACCACAGAATACAATATAAGGTATGTGACATCCTGATAGGGACATCAAGGGCCCTGAAAGATTGACTGTTCCAACTTCAGGCTGGTATAAAAGAAAATTTTCCTACCTTGTTATCAAGAACTACAGTTTCCTTGAGCTCCCACGGTCAGACTGAGTGACTGTTCTAAGTCTCATCCCATGACATTTGTTTGTGTTTGTATTTTTCCCACTCCCATGAAGTTAGTATGTCATGAGATGGGTGACAAAAGTAGTTGAATGTAAAGCCTGACATTGCTTCTTGCACAGGCATCTCTATAAAATGGGGAGTTTGTTGCATAGTTAAACTTTTCCTTATTTCTCTCCAAACCAGGAAAGTAACGAAGAAAGGGAAGAGAATGGATCAAAGGACCAGGCAGCTAAGTCTTCTAATGAAAAGTGTCGCCTGAAGACTGGAGTCCCTGAATATGGGACCAGACAACAGGACCTGGCAAAGGCCATTCCTCAGCAGGGCGCCTCATCTAGGGAGGATTTGGCGGCAGATTCCAGCTCATGATGGGAATCAAAGACTGTAGTTTCCCTGTATCTCTGTCTTGAGCTATTGGTTACCATGGCAACAGCACCACAGGTAGCACTTTTTAGGCCAGAACTGGGACTAAGCTTGTGACTCTAGAATTGAGGAATTGCAAACAGTGAGTGATTTTGGATACTTTCTCAATATAATTTTTTTTTATATAAGTTTCTATTCTAACTCCACCCAGTAATACACTCTGTTAGTCTTGACATTTAGATTTGGGTTGAAATTCTTTGTTATAGGGCTAGAGTGGAGTAAAGAATCTCTGTTCCTCAGAAGAAAATTTGAGCTTCATAGARTATAAATAAATTCTCTTTTTAGGGATTAAAATAAGGTATATATTTCTAAGTAGTCATCCTGTCTTAGTTGGAACTTGCTTTATGATTAGCAAACATTGCTAGTAGCACTATGAAATGGTCTTTATCAAAGTTTTTGAGAATTATATACACCCCCCCCAAAAAAAAATTGGAAACAAATAATAAGAGCACTACACAAGTTTTTTAAAAATGGATGATTTCTTTGTTTATTTGTCAACAATTTTTCTAAACCTGTGAAGATCAAATGTGAAAATCAGAGCTACAAAGCACAGGTTGTTCTGGACAAAGATAACTGTGATTTAGTAGAAAGAAACAAAACTTTCAGTAATGAAACCTCATTTTTAGTTTACTTTTTCAATTTGCTAGTTTTGTGATTTTGAAGGTGTCCAGATTTCTGATCCCCAGTTTCCTTCTTTGTAAAATACAGATGACATTTATTTGTTTTTGGGGGGATTGTTGTTAAACAAAACTAAACAATAAATGTGAAAACACTTATAAAAATGTAAATATCTGTTGTTAATATAAAATTAATGATTATTATATTGATGGTCCCCAAAGAACCAAGGCTTCTGGAATTTATACCCTTGTATAGCTCCACCCACATTGACTCTAGGCTCRACCATGTGACTTTCTTTGGCTGCTGAGATAGTAGCAAATATAATGCAAGGAGAGGTTTGATAAGCACTTGCACATTAGGGTTTGTCCACTTGGAAATCTCCATGTTGTAGAGAAGCTTAAACTAGACTTCTTTTTWAAAAAAAATGTATTTATATATGACAGTGGAATATAATACAATTCTTATTACACATATAAAACACAATTTTTCTTTTTTTAAAATATTTTTTTAGTTGTCAGTGGACCTTTATTTAATGAATTTATTTATATGTGGTGCTGAGAATCGAACCCAATGTCTCACACATGCTAGGCGAGCGCTTTACTATTGAGCCCCAGCCCCAGCCCCTAGAGCACAATTTTTCATCTCTGGTTGTTTACACAGTATGTTCACACTAATTTGTGTCTTCATACCTGTACTTTGGGTAATAATGATCATCACATTCCACCATCATTAATAACCCCATGCCCCCTCCCTTCCCCTCCCACCCCTCTGCCCTATCTAGAGTTCTTCTATTCCTCCCATGCTCCCCCTCCCTATTCCACTATGAATCAGTCTCCCTATATCAAAGAAAACATTTGGCATTTGGTTTTTTGGGATTGGCTAACTTCACTTAGCATTATCTTCTCTAACTCCATCTATTTACCTGCAAATGCCATGATTTTATTCTTTTATTGCTTAGTAATATTCCATTATGTATATATGCCACATTTTTTAATCCATTCATTTATTGAAGAGCATCTAGTTTGGTTCCACAGTTTAGCTATTGTGAATTGTGCTGCTATAAACATTGATGTGGCTGTGTTCCTGTAGTATGCTGTTTTTAAGTCCTTTGGGTATAGTCCAAGGAGAGGGATAGCTGGGTCAATGATGGCTCCATTCCCAGTTGTCCAAGGAATCTCCATACTGCTTCTAGATTGGCTGCACCAATTTGCAGTCCCACCAGCAATGTATGAGTGTACCTTTTCCCCCACATCCTTGCCAACACTTATTGTTGTTTGTCTTCGTAATAGCTGCCATTCTGACTGGAGTGAGATGAAATCTTAGCGTAGTTTTGATTTGCATTTCTCTAATTGTGAGAGATGATGAACACATTTTCATATATTTGTTAATTGATTGTATATCCTCTTCTGAGAAGTGTCTGTTCAGGTCCTTGGCCCATTTATTGATTGGGTTATTTGTTTTTTCAGTGCTTAGCTTTTTGAGTTCTTTATATACCCTAGAGATTAGTGTTCTATCTGATGTGTGAGGGGTAAAGATTTGCTTCAAAGATGTAGGCTCTCTGTTCACCTCACAGTTTGTTTCTGTTGCTGAGAAGAAACTTTTTAGTTTGAATCTATTTCATTTATTGATTCTTGATTTTAATTCTTGTGCCAAAGGAGTCTTATAAGGAAAGTTGGGGTCTAATCCCACATGATGGAGATTAGGGCCTACTTTTTCTTCTATTATACATAGGGTCTCTGTTTGTATTCGTAGGTCCTTGATCCATTTGAGTTGAGTTTTGAGCATGGTGAGAGATAGGGGATTAAATTTATTTTGTTGCATATGGATTTCCAGTTTTCCCAGCACCATTTGTTGAAGAGGCTATCTTTTCTCCAATGCATCTTCTTGGCACCTTTGTCTAATATAAGATAATTGTAGTTTTGTGGGTTAGTCTCTGTGTCCTCTATTCTGTACCATTGGTCTACCAGTCTGTTTTGGTGCCAATACCATGCTGTTGTTGTTACTATTGCTCTGTAGTGTAGTTTATGGTCTGTATAGTGATGCCACCTGCTTCCCTCTTCCTGCTAAGGATTGCTTTTGTCTCTTATTTTTCCAGATGAATTTCATGATTGCTTTTTCTATTTCTATGAGGAATGTCATTGAAATTTTCATTGGAATTGCATTAAATCGGTATGGTGCTTTTGGAAGTATGGTCATTTTGATAATATTAATTCTGCCTATCCAAGAGCAAGGTAGATCTTTCCATCTTCTAATGTCTTCTTTGATTTCTTTCTTTAGGGTTCTGTAATTTTCATTATATAGATCTTTCACCTCTTTTGTTGATTCCCAAGTATTTTTTTTTTTGAGGCTATTGAAAATGGGGTAGTTTTCCTTGTTTCTCTTTCTGAGGATTTGTCACTGATATACAGAAATGTCTTTGATTAATGGGTGTTGATTTTATATCCTACTACTTTGCTGAATTCATTTACTAGTTCTAGAAGTTTTCTGGTGGAACTTTTAGGGTCATCTAGGTATAGAATCATATCATCAGTAAATAGTGCCAGTTTGAGTTCTTCTTTTCCTATATGTATCCCTTTAATTTCTTTCATCTGTCTTATTTCTCTGGCCAGTGTTTCAAGAATTATGTTAAATAAAAGTGGTGAAAGAGGGAGTGCCTTCAATTTTTCTCCATTTAGAATGATGTTGGCCTGGGACTTGGCATAGATAACCTTTATGATGTTGCGATATGTTCCTGTTATCCCTAGTTTTTCTAGTGTTTTGAACATAAAGGGGTGCTGTATTTTGTCACATGCTTTTTCTGCATATATTGAGATGATCATATGATTCTTATCTTTGAGTCTATTGATGTGATGAATTACATTTATTGATTTCCATATGTTGAACCAAGCTTTCGTCCCTGGGTTGAATCCCACTTGATCATGGTGCATGATCTTTTTGATATGTTTTTCTATTTGATTTGCCAGAATTTTATTGAGAATTTTTGCATCTATGTTCATTAGAGATATTGGTCTGAAGTTTTGTTTTTTTGATGTGTCTTTGCCTGGTTTTGAAATCAGGGTGATACTGGCCTCATAGGATGAGTTTGGAAGTGCTGCCTCTTTTTCTCTTTCCTGAAATGAATTGGAGAGTATTGGTATTAGTTCTTCTTTAAAAGTCTTGTAGAACTTGGCTGTGTATCTGTCTGGTCCTGGGCTTTACTTGGTTGGTAGACTTTTGATGGTGTCTGTTATTTTGTCACTTGAAATTGATCTGTTTTTATTGTGTATATCATCCTGATTCAATTTGGGCAAATTATATGACYCTAGAAATTTGTTGATGCTTCGATATCTTTTATTTTATTGGAGTACAGTTTTCAAAATAATTTCTAATTATCTTCTGTATTTCTTTAGAGTCTGTTGTGATATTTCATTTTCTATCATGTATGTTAGTGATTTGAGTTTTCTCTCTACTACTCTTCATTAGGGTCTGTCAATTTTTTCAATTTTTCTTTTGTTTCAATTTCATTGATTTCAGCTGTGATTTTAATTATTTCTTGTCTTCTGCTGTTTTTGGTATTGATTTATTCTTTTTCCAGGGCTTTGAGATGTAGTGCTAAGTCATTTATTTGTTGACCTTTTCTTCTTTTAAGGAATGAACTCCGTGCAATGACTTTCCTCTTAGAACTGCTTTCTTAGTATCCCAGAGATTTCGATATGTTGTATCTGTGTTCTCATTCACCTCTAAAATTTTTTAATCTCCTCCTTGATGTCTTCTTTAATCCATTGTTCATTCAGTAGCATATTATTTAGTCTTCAGGTGTTGGAGTGGGTTTTATTTTTTATTTTATCATTGATTTTTAATTTCATTCTATTATGATCTTACGGAATGTAGGGTAGTATCTCTACTTTTTATGTTTGCTAAGAGTTGCTTTGTGGCATAGTATATGGTCTATTTTAGAGAAGGATCCATGTGCTATTGAGAAGAAAGTATATTCTCTTGTTGAAGGATGGAATATTCTATATATGTCAGTTAAGTCTAAATTATTGATTGTATTAATTAGTTCTATAATTTCTTTGTTCAGCTTTTGTTTGGAAGATCTGTCTAGTGATGAAAGAGGTGTGTTAAAGTCACCCAAATTATTGTGTTGTGGTCTATTTGACTCTTAAACTTGAGAAGAGTTTGATGAACATAGTTGCTCCGTTGTTTGGATATATATATTTATAATTGTTAAGCCTTGTTGGTGTATGGTTACCTTAAGCAGTATGTAGTGTCCTTTGTCCTTTTTTATTGGATTTAGCTTGAAGTCTACTTTATTTGATATGAGGATGGAAACCCCTGCTTGCTTCCGC